CTTAAATAAAGCAACATTATTAAAGCAAGGTAAAAAAACAACAAAATACTTTATTAATCCGATACTTTATTAATAGGATATTCACATCTAATACTAACTTCTCGCGATACAGATTTTTACACGACATCCGAATATTAATTTTTCAAATTTTCATATTCGATATTATTTTTTCTAAACAAGTTATATTAAATCTAAAAATTTATAAAATTTATTTTTTAACAATTAAAATTTATATAATTAAATTATAAATTCACAAAAATTGATATATAAATCTAAATATAATTATAAACTAATAAAATAATAAAATAAATAATATAACAATTTTTACAAAATAAAATCGGATATGCATATTCGATTGTTTGTTTATCGGACATTCACAACCGATTCTCTCTGGATTTTCATATCAGATACACATCTTTAGAATTTTATTTTTTAAAATATTTTTATTAAATCTAATAAATTTATAAACATTTAATCAATTAAATTAATCCATTAATATATTATTACAAATAAAAAACTATAAATTCTATAAAATAAAAAAATAAGTATTAAATATTTACAAATTAAATTATTTCATTCAAAATAAATATAATTACTTCAAATATTTATATAAACAATTAATTAATTAAAACAGAACCGTTTAATTAAAATAAAAATGAAAAAACTATAAAAAAATACGTAACAAAATTTAAAAGAACAAAACTTAATCAAAAACTAAATAATTTATTAACTATAATAAATATATGTATCAAATATATACAATAATTAATTAATTATAGTAAATATATGTGTATCAAATATAAACAATAAAATTAATTACAATGAAAAATGGGAAAAATTTAAACATAATATAACACTAAATCATTAAAAAAATAGCTGACTCGTTTTCCACATCGAATTTACTGAATCCGTTTTGGATATCCGAGCTTGTCGCGTTTTGAAAGCCTATTCACACACCACATAAATGGTGTCATCCTAATCCGATCCACATGACACTGTCGGAGTAAACGATTCATTTCAATTATGATCGATGAATCCATCGAAATAAGAAGTCGCCACTACAAAAAAAATCATAAAAATTTATTACTAACTACAATCCGTAAGATAATTAAATAATATATAAACAAAAAATTTAATTTTTTTCTTACACTTGCTTTTTTCCCTTCCATTGCAACGGCCCTAAGAAGACAACATTCCACACTCAGTTATATCATTCAACTTAATGAAAAACTAAAACACAGAGTAAAACACAATGTCAAGGCTAGCCCATTTTTACTTACACCAAAATGTAAGGGTTTCAACGCACGTTTTGAAGAAGGAGGAGAGAACGAAACCGAGGATGGAAGCTTCGAACACGGCAAGAGAACGAAGGCTTCAACGAACGAGAATACGGACACACACCGAGAGAGAAGACGGACGACAGAGAAGGCTTGAACGAACGAGAAGAAGGAAGGCTTCAACGAACGAGAAGAAGGAAGGCACCCTAAACCGCGAACGAACGAGAAGAAGGAAGGCTTGAACGAACGAGAAGAAGGAAGGCACCCTAAACCGCGAAACCCATATTTTGTCAAAATTTTTTTTAGAAAGCCCAAAATACCCCTATGACCGTAACCCCTTCTCTGTTCCATTTTCAAATTACTGAGCCAATAGGAAGCTGCCACGTGCACGTTGTCAAAACTGTGTTAAAAAAGCGTTGTTGGAATAACATTTTCCTTA